AGCCAACGCACTTCATGTCTAACCACCACCTGGCTGTTTCTGGGAACTCACCTGCTGCTATGACACTGACGAGGTTTCAGTGGAGTTTCCATAGTCAGATGGGCAACGCAGAAAGGCCTGGTGATCTGCTCCTGAAAAAACCAGCCAGTGAAGGCCCTATGTGCCACACTGCTCAGATCTGCCATGGACAGAGAGGGGGGCACAGGACCAAAACCGAAAACTGAGTTCCCTGCCACGAAGTCCGTTCTGAACCCACAGGGCCCTCCAGGGTAGGGTAGAATTGCCCCTGTGGGTTTCTAAGACCATAACTCTTTACAGGAGTAGAAAGACTTCTCTCTGCTGGTTTCAAACTGCTGACCTTGCGGCTAGCTGTCCATGCCAGGGCGTCCTCCGGCATGGGGCCGGGTAGTGGTTATGATTGTGGCTGCCACGAGTCAGGAGCCAATTTGATAGCAGGGAACATCCATATTTCTGTAACATACAAAAAAGTAGGTAAAGTTCACTGTAACGGTGCATTTTATTTCGCCAAAGTGTCCAAAAATCTTTTCATTTCAACATGTCAAAAAATATAAGAAATTAATCATAAAACCTCTAACATACCTTTAAAAAATGAAATCTTAACAAGCCAGTATTTTATATTTATTGGACATCTCAGTTCATGTTCGCCACATTTCAAATGCCCAACGGCCCCCGGTGCCTCGTGGCCACTGCACTGGAGAGCTAAGTGAAAGTCGCTCCCAACTCTCACTCTTGATCCCATGTCAACATGGTCAGGAAGAGGCGTTTCCCTTCATGGGTGCTGCCTGGCCTGGAACATGTCTGCGCCTACGTCTCCTGCGTAGGCTGACATCCACGGTGGAGTGCCGCGACATCCAAAGAGACTTACATGTCCGCTCTCTGGGGCCATGCGATGCACCTAAGGGCTCCTTGAAGGAAGCACTCAGGTTTCTATCTCCCTTCCTATGATCATTAGTCAACTCAGTTCCTATGTAAAAGCAAAGCTCAAAGGAAGCTTCTTTACAGGCTTGTTAGGGAAACTGTGTGTCAAGACCCCCAAGATAGATCAAGTACAGGTGGCAAGACACGGAGGGTGCATAGGAAACGACCTTGGCGCGAAATGCATACATGTGGTTGTTGGTGCCTAGAACGTCCCCAGAAGGATTCCCCAGAAACCAAGAACTGGATGCGTGGAGGGTAAGAGTAAGACTGCTTTTTGCTTGTTTGAGAAGAACTTGTTTGTCACTAAAGCCTTCAAGTTCAATGCATGAGACTTTTCACTGCATTCACGCCGATGCTTTTGTCTTAACTTTGAAACACACGGAGGCATGATTTGAAAACGAGGGCTCTGGACTTCCTGGGCAGACCACTGGCTCCTGAGGCCGCCCAGGTGCCCGTGGGCTTTGCATCAGGAGAAGCCGATCTAGGTCTCTGTTGTCCATGCCTTACATAATAGGAAGAGGGGGTCTTGGCAGAGGCCCAGGGCAGGAAGACCTAATATCAAGTGACTGTAAAGGACCCCTTTGTTTCCAGAAAGGCAGTGGTTTCCATTCAACATCCCTGCCCCCATCCCAGACCCCTGTCCCTGGGATGCCTTCACCACCTGCTGCAAGAGCATCAGATCGCCCTGAAGAGCCTCCAGGCTGGAGGTGGGGCCGGGAGGAAGGCATTCTCTGGGAAGGGGCATCATCTTCCCAGAAGTTTTAACCAAGAAGGTCATTTCTAGAGGCATGACCCCACCCTGCCAGCTGCCCTCAATTTCTGGCATCGCTTTCCTGGGCACGATACAGGGCAACAGAGGGAACAAAACGGTGCAGAGTGTGGTGGCCCGTATGTGTGTCTATTTGTTGACATCCATGCACTCTTTCCTTCACCACATATTTGTAGCCCCAAAACTCAACTCCCTGCCATGGAGTTAGTGATGACTCGTACGACCCTTCAGGACAGGAAGAATTTCTCCTGTGGTTTCCAAGACTGTAACTCTTTACGGGGGTAGAAATCCTCATCTTTTCCCCAAGAATCAGCTGGTGGTTTCTAACTTAGGACCTTAAGGTTAGCAGCCCAACGCATAACCACTATGCCACCAGGGCTCCTGTCATATTTGTGGAGTGCTCACTATATTCTGGCCACAGTTAAATAGACTTAGAATCACTCTAAAACAAAATAGACCAGGTCCCTGCCCTCATGAAGTTTATAATCCAGCAGAAGGAACAGGGAGTAAGCACAAATGAGTCCCCACAGGAGCTAGTCAGAGAGGCCAGAAACGGTTGCACTCAAAAAGTGGCACTGAAGCTGAGTCTCAGAAATGTGGATATCCGGAGATGGTGACATGTGACAAAAGGGATTTGTATGGGAAAGGGCCCTACAAACTGTTACTTGCTGGGGTGGGGGGTTGAGGGGGGGTGGACAAAAACAAAACATCTTTTTATATTTTTTTGATCACAAAAATAAAAATACTTTAAAGAAAACTGTCTGTTCTTTTATCCGGGTGATTCTCCTATCACTACAATTTTACTCCATTTGTCTCAGTTGTGCTTGCTTGCTCGTTGCTCGCTCGATCTCCACACCTCATGCTAGTGAATGGTCAGAGGTTTCTACTCCGGGCAGCTGGTTTCTGGTTCATTCCTGGAATGAAAGGGCTGAACGAATGCCCCCCCACCCCCACCCCATTAGTTGTGTCTGCATGTCTTCTGCCTCCAGATCTCTCCTTCCAGTCTCCCAGTGCAAGCTTCTCAGCTCAGGCAGTGAGCTCCAAAGGCCTCCAGTCACTTGGTTGCTAAACCTGGCTGATCATCATGTGGGAAGCTTTTAAGAACACAGCTTTTCAGGCTCTGAGCCCAGAAACTCTGATTCAGCAGGTCTGGGGCCTGTCCAGTTATTGATTCTGCAGGTCCCACGCTCAGAGGGGTGGTCCCTGGGGCTGGCAAGGCCTGGGCAGTGAGTGAGTCAGTTGCTTGCGCTTGGCAACCACCCTTCCTCCTGTGAATTTATCGTTCTCATTAAGGGAATGGCTTTTAAAACCTGCTGAGAGGACCCAGGCTCTTATTGTGTGCCTTGAGCATTGGCTGGCTCCCTGAATGCAAGTCTGACCGGCCAGCAGAGGATTTCTGGGCTGGCTCCGTTCCATTTCATCGAGGAGAAGAAACTCTCCCCGGGGTGGGTGAGCATTGTCTGTGTTGGCCACAGTCGTTTTCAGGGTACTTCCCTGGAGCCACTGGGGAGCTGATCAACCAGAAACTGCCTCCCCAGGACTCTCACGGGGCCTGGGACTTTGAGGGAGGCAGACAAAGGCGGGGGCTGTGGGGAAGCCTGTTGCCCAGCCCCTCTCCCTGCACACACCAGGCAGGTCTGGAGAGGGCAGAGACCCACTGCCCTCCGAATCGTAGTGCCCCTAGAGGACACAGTACAACTGCCCCCTGGGGTGCCCAGAAGCAAAGAGCCACATCTTTTTTCCAGGAAGCAGCTGGTCAGTTTGCTCCACGGCCTGTCAGTTAGCAGCCTTAACCCACGCTGTGAACCCCTTCCACCCTCATTCCCCATCTTTAAGTCCTCATTTTGAGCTCAGAAAGGGAGCGTGGCTCAGAAATATTTAGAAGTTGTAATGGACCCTTGAGGTGTTCAGAAAATGTGTGTGTGTGTGTGTGTGTGTGTGTGTGTGTGTGTGTGTGTGTCCAAACCATCACAGTGGGCAGAAGGGGCGGAAACTGTTCAGCTCTGGCAGTGCAGGAGCCCAGGTCTGGGGCTGACTCCCGCAGAGCCTCTCCGGCAGACCTGGGACTTCCCTGCGGTTGGCTGCCTCAGCTTCTCCCCCCTGCTCCGCTCCCTGTGGCCGGTTTATTTTCCTTTACTCGGGTTACCCACACTCCTCCATGGGGTCACTCCGCCCACACCGGGGGCGTCTTCTTGAGTTTCTAGGCAAACACGGGGACCCTGGGGCCCTGCAACTGTATCCCTCCCGTCATTACGTGGCGAGAGTCACCGGGGACCAAAGTCTGTGTCCCATCTGACCCCACTTCCCCTGCCAGGGCACTCGGCACAACCCAGGCGGACAGCAGGCATTACAGGGAGGAAGAGAAGGCGGGGCCGGAGTGGAAGCAGAGGAGCGAGGGAGGGAGGGAGACAAGACAGCTATCCCATCCAGTTCTTGATTGACCCACTGCATCAGATCCCTCTGCGGACCCATTCCAGGAAAGCCCCCAGTTGAGAAATACTTACACCACCACCCCACCCCACCCCCGTGTCCCCAACAACAACAACAACTTGTCACTCCAGCATTTCTCAAATAGAGGCAGAATGACTTAAATGCATGTTGAGAAACATTCTCCAGGTGTGAGAAGCTGCCACCGTCGAGCACACAGAATAGCTAACTCTTGGTGGAAGAAGTAAGCGTCTCTGTGGCAATGTAGGGTTTGCTGCAAGACCCAGAACCCAAAGCCACCTCCTCAAGGCAGGCTTCCTGGGTTTCCACCCTGGGAGAGCTCTCTCCACTGGTTTCAAACTGCACACCTTCCTGTGGTTAGCAGCTTCCAGAGAGGACTTGTGTCGTCTCTCCTGGCACCTTCTGGGGTAGCTTCTCTCTCCTCTCTTCTCTTCCACACTCCACCCCACCTCCCCCCCTTACAACTGTGGAGAGCAGTTTTCGGGGCTCTATAGGGTGAATGCGTGCCATCTGCTTGTTCCATCAAATACTAGGTATTTAAAAAACTCAGACTCACTGTTGTGGAGGTGATGCCAACTTATAGAGAGCCTCTTAGGACGGGATAAAATAGCCCCAGTGAGTCTCCCAGACTGTTACTGTTTATGGGAGTACAGAGCCCTCTTGCTCTCCAACTGCTGGCCTTGCAGGTCGCAGCCCAAGGCGTAAGCAATAGAGGCTCTGGCGGGTCTGAGCAGGAGGAGAAAGTGTTTCTTGAAGTGAGGTAAAGCTGTCCATGAGCAGAGGGGACCGTCTGAGCAAGCGCCTGACATCAGATGCAGAATCGTTCTCCTCCAAATGTCTTAAAAAATTCATTTCCCTGCTCTGAGCCTGGGCTTTCTTTTGTGGAACAGGAGGGCAGTGAGGATTCCAATCCGGACAACTCCCTGGGTTTCTATCTGGATCAGGAGTGTAGAGGGGGAGGGGGGCACAGATCCCCTCCAAGGAGAGATAGTGGTGGCCCATGCCAGCTCTCAGCCCCTCTGTGGATTCAGGCCTGTGGGAGAACAGCCCTCTCCTCGGGCTCTCCTCCCAGACAGATTTGCCTTGTGGACATGATGAGGCTCCAGGGACTCTCACAGGTGGTTTTATTGGGAGTCCGGCTTTCCAGGTGGGATCTCCCACGGCAAACACTCCTGAGATGAGGATCACCAGCTCCCATCAGCCCTAGGTTAGGGATTCAGAATGGTAAGCGTGGTAGGGAGAGGTGTGGAGCTGGCACGGGTGACATCACACCCTTAGGTAAGCAGGCAA